CAAACTACAACTTAACAAATCACAAACCTAGGACTTCCTAACTTGCTCTGATACCAAATTGGTGCAATCAAAAAATATAGGGGAGCCTATATTTTTAGATCACAAAAAGAAAAACTAACTTCCTATATAAAAGAAGACACAAAATACCTCAAAAAAAAGAGAACTTAAATAAGACTAAGCAGCGGAAATTAAAACTACAAACGTTGATTTTAATAACTTAAACTCTTACAAACGACTCCAAATAAGATAAAAAGATACCCTAAAGTTGCTGCACTTGGAAGAAAGATACAGGTGGAGTGGCACTTGCGGAGAGTTGAAAGAGGTTAGAAGCCCGAGAAGAAAGGTTGGAAAGAGCCCGTAGGATTTCCGGAGGGGATGAGAAAGAATGTGGAAAGAGCCCGCAGGATTTCCTAAGCAAACCCGCAGGTTATAGCGTTTCCAAAAATCACATTTCATAACTTTCTTTAAAACAATACATAACCCCCCATATATATAGGTATGAAAGGGGAATACCAAAAGACACATAACATAAATTATCACAAGAACCTAAGCATTAAACCTAAATGCTTTTCATGGAAAAACAGCACAAGCCAAGGAACCGAAGCAGCCATCTCGGGAGCCAAGGAGGCCGCATGGATCCAATGAGTCACGGTCACGGATAGGAGCCCAGGCACAGAAATCCAATGGCCGGCCGGAATCCAAGGGGGCAAATGCACAAAATACTAAAGGCCATGGTGGAAGCCAAAGAGCCACCACATTGGAAAAAGCAAATCTTAGAATTCCAAAAGCCGGTTTGGAATTCCAAGAGACAGCATAACTTAAAACATTAAAAACGTAAAAAGTACATTTATTAAAAAGATAACTATGGTCTAAAATGTTATCTAATAATGAGCTAACCCTTAGTTCAATAAGTGAACTAAAGACCAGCTCATAAATGAGCTAAAATTTCAGCTCAATTTTGATTAAGCTAGTAGACTCAAGGGAAGCCAAAAATCTAATTATTTTTGACATGAGTTGACCCCCCCTTTGTCTACATCAGACTCCCCTTCTTGCGAACTCAGGTCCTGATGGGTTGGTTGTTAATTCCCTTGAGGAGGTGCATACTGTTCATCCAGCTCTTTGAGTTTTCACCAAATTTCTTCAAAATTTCTTCCTGTTTCTTCTCGAATTGCTGTTATAGATACATTTTGTACTTCTCGAATTTTTGATCACATAGGAACATGTGATACTGAAGTTTGTATAGGCGATCTTGAAGTGGATCCGTTGAATCACCTTCTGTAGGAATCCATCTGTCCAATGGAAGTGGGACATCAGGATTATCTTGATTAATCTCCTCCATGAATGAAGCCATTTTTTTTTTGTTTTCCATTTTTTATATTGACTCTAAAAAAAAGACTCGAAAAATTACAAGACTCACAACCTAAGCACTAAGACTCAATAGACTCTCAACACAACTTGACTTGACAAATAAGATTTGACAAACTACAACTTGACTAATCACAAACCTAGGACTTCCTAACTTGCTCTGATACCAAATTGGTGCAATCAAAAAATATAGGGGAGCCTATATTTTTAGATCACAAAGAGAAAAACTGTCTTCCTATATAAAAGAAGATACAAAATACCTAAAAAAAAAGAGAACTTAAATAAGACTAAGCAGCGGAAATTAAAACTACAAACGTTGATTTTAATAACTTAAACTCTTACAAACGACTCCAAATAAGATAAAAAGACACCCTAAAGTTGCTGCACTTGGAAGAAAGGTACAGGTAGAGTGGCACTTGCGGAGAGACGAAAGAGGTTAGAAGCCCTAGAAGAAAGGTTGGAAAGAGCCCGCAGGATTTCTGGAGGGGATGAGAAAGAAGGTGGAAAGAGCCCGCATGATTTCCTAAGCAAACCAGTAGGCTATAGCTTTTCCAAAAATCACATTTCATAACTTTCCTTAAAACAATACATAACCCCCCATATATATAGGTATGAAAGGGGAATACCAAAAGACACATAACATAAATTATCACAAGAACCTAAGCATTAAACCTAAATGCTTTTCATGGAAAAACAGACCAAGCCAAGGAACCGAAGCAGCCATCGCGGGAGCCAAGGAGGCCGCATGGATCCAAGGAGTCGCGGTCACGGAAAGGAGCCCAGGCACGAAAATCCAACGGCCGGTTGGAATCCAAGGGGGCAAATGCACAAAATACTAAAGGCCATGGTGGAAGCCAAAGAGCCACCACATTGGAAAAAGCAAATCTTAGAATTCCAAAAGCCGGTTTGGAATTCCAAGAGACAGCATAACTTAAAACATTAAAAACGTAAAAAGTACATTTATTAAAAAGATAACTATGGTCTAAAATGTTATCTAATAATGAGCTAACCCTTAGTTCAATAAGTGAACTAAAGACCAGCTCATAAATGAGCTAAAATTTCAGCTCAATTTTGATTAAGCTAGTAGACTCAAGGGAAGCCAAAAATCTAATTATTTTTGACATGAGTTGACCCCCCCTTTGTCTACATTAGACTCCCCTTCTTGCGAACTCAGCTCCTGATGAGTTGGTTGTTGATTCCCTTGAGGAGGTGCATACTGTTCATCCAGCTCTTTGAGTTTTCACCAAATTTCTTCAAAATTTCTTCCTGTTCCTTCCCGAATTGCTGTTATAGATACATTTTGTACTTCCCAAATTTTTGATCACATAGGAACATGTGATACTACAGTTTGTATAGGCAATCTTGAAGTGGATTCGTTGAATCACCTTCTGTATGAATCCATCTGTCCAATGGAAGTGGGACATTAGGATTATCTTGATTAATCTCCTCCATGAATGAAGCCATTTTTTTGTTGTTTTCCATTTTTTATGTTGACTAAAAAAAAAAGACTCGAAAAATTATAAGACTCACAACCTAAGAACTTAGACTCAATAGACTCTCAACACAACTTGACTTGACGAATAAGATTTGACAAACTACAACTTGACAAATCACAAAACTAGGACTTCCTAATTTGCTCTGATACCAAATTGGTGCAATCAAAAAATATAGGGGAGCCTATATTTTTAGATCACAAAAAGTAAAACTGAATTCCTATATAAAAGAAGACACAAAATACCTCAAAAAAAGGAGATAACTTAAATAAGACTAAGCACCAGAAATTAAAACTACAAACGTTGATTATAATAACTTAAACTCTTACAAACGAGTCCAAATAAAATAAAAAGACACCCTAAAGTTGTTGCACTTGGAAGAAAGATACAGTTGGAGTGGCACTTGCGGAGAGACGAAAGAGGTTAGAAGCCCGAGAAGAAAGGTTGGAAAGAGCCCGCAGGATTTCCTAGGTAAACCCGTAGGTTATAGCTTTTCCAAAAATCATATTTCATAACTTTCTTTAAAACAATACATAACCCCCCATATATATAGGTATGAAAGGGGAATACCAAAAGACACATAACATAAATTATCACAAGAACCTGAGCATTAAACCTAAATGCTTTTCATGGAAAAACAGCCCAAGCCAAGGAACCGAAGCAGCCACTGCGGGAGCTAAGGAGGCCGCACGGATCCAAGGAGTCACGGTCATGGAAAGGATCCCAGGCACGGAAATTCAGCAGCCGGCCGGAATCCAAGGGGGCAAATGCACAAAATACTAAAGACCATGGTGGAAGCCAAAGAGCCACCACATGGGAAAAAGCAAATCTTGGAATTCCAAGAGACATCATAACTTAAAACATTAAAAACATAAAAAGTGCATTTAATAAAAAGATAACTATGAACTAAAATGTTAGCTAATAATGCGCTAACCCTTAGTTCAATAAGTGAATTAAAGACCAGCTCATAAATGAGCTAAAATTTCAGCTCAATTTTGATTGAGCTAGTAGACTCAAGGGAAGCCAAAAATTTAATTATTTTTGACATGAGTTAACCCCCCTTTGTCTACATCAATATTATAATCATCATCACTGTTAAATCAGATGAAGAAACAATGAGAAGAGTTAAATATCTGAGTGGAATTATAATTAGAGAAGACTGTCTCAAATATTCTATTACAAACAGAGAAAAAGTACTTATTCTTAATTCTTATTACTTGTAGATAGAAAAGGTATAGATTTTATGGGATGTACACAACCAAATTAGCAACCCTAGAATAAAAATCATTGAAAAAAAGGATCTTCGCTGGTTCTGTGAAAAAAAAAAAAAAAAGGAAAAGGTAAAACAACAAACGAGTTTTTGAATACAAATCTAAGGAATTGAATATTTGATATCACTCCCCTTCACATGGAAATAAGTGATCAATGTATCATATGATTGGGGACCTTTCTTAATGGAATATGCTGTAAAACTGGATTACATTGGCTGTGGACAACTGCTATGGTGATTTATGGAGTGAATTGATTGTTGACATTCTAGAATTGCTGCGGCACTACCTGTCATCTAGAAGACTTCCAGAAATGGTTTCTTGATTGCTGGCCGCAGCTTTGAATGCTTCCTAAAATGGTCACAGGGTTTCCACAATTGTGGTGAGCCTATAGTTTTCCAACTAGCTTTTCAGTCATTGTACAGATCCTGCTACTTCAAATTTGCTTGCTGAAGACCGTGTCATCCACAAGTGGACCATAATCTTGAATTGGCAAGCGATCACAATAATGCATGCCTAATAAGAATTTCCTAGGTTTTTTAACTGTAATGGTGGAAACATGTTATTAAGTAAATTGATTGGAAATTTCATTCCTCTAGCATCTTAGATTGACTGGAAATCCTCTTGAACCTCCAAGATGTTGATCTATTTTGGATCCCAATTTTACTCCTAGCTTCAAGCGAGCTATAATAGTGAGGGGTATGGTATCATCATCTTTTTGCTTTGCTGTGATGAGAAGTTCAATATTGTGAGACTTTTTTTTCATGCATCCTTGAATTAGTGAGTTTTACATTTTGTATGTGTATTGTAGAATTTTAGTTTTTATGAGCAAATCTAGTTTTCTCTATCCATTATTACAAACTTAAACTTGTAGGTCTCAAGGACTGCATGCGTAGAGGATATTCATATGTGGACGGAATCGAGGAACTGCTACAAGCTCTGAAACAAAACAACTATGAATTGCATGCCTTCACAAATTATCCTATTTGGTTTGTTTAGCTATTTTACTTTTTTTCTAGGTCCTTTTATACAAAATTCTCATCTTTGAGTTGTTCTTTGCAGGTACAAGATGATTGAAGAAAAGCTAGAACTTTCAAAATATTTATCTTGGACATTCTGTTCTTGTCTAATAGGTACTTTTTTGCTTAATAAATTAGGCTTTCCTCTTAACAATAATTTCTTTGAAATGCTTCAATGCATGTCATCTAAATATTTATTCAAATAAACATATTGTCAATCAAATGTTCTGTTTTTGATTTATATGGTACCACGCTTAAAGAATAAAATGTTTTCTAAAATAATGAAAGTGATTGCCATTTTCTTTTTAACGTCTTTTTGGGCCATTAGATAGCCTAATCTCCAAATGTCTCCCAATTTGGGTGACATTCAGATAACAGCAAACTTATCAAGTAGGTCTCAAATATTATTTAAGGACGTTAGCAAGCATGACAGTTCATTTCGGAAACTAATTGCCACAGAAGCTGTAAACTGTTGCTCCTTCTATATTCTATTAATTATATCTTGCTTTCAATAGGTACTTTGGTTTGTGGTATACTTGAAAGACGTGTTACATGAAATTATCACCCGTCCGTCCAACTGTTAATCTTTTTCTCTGATTATGGTGCTCGTGCATGTTAACTCAGGAAAGAGGAAGCCAGCACCTGATTCATACGCTGTAGTTGTGCATCTCCTGAATGTTGAGCCAGAAAGTTGTATCTTCATTGACGATAGGTTCTGGTCTTCTATCATTACATTATTTCTGTCATGCTTTTTCTTTTTTCTCGATGGATCCATTTTGATTCACTCAAAAAAAAAAAAAAAAAAAAAAAAAATAATTCAATAAAAAAAAAAAAAAAAAAAAATCGTGACACTCATTTATGTTGCAAATCTGATCACAAACACCTATTTGCAATCAATTTGGTAGTCCCAAGGCTGCTTATTGAAATCCTTCTCGCAAAACATCTTTGAAGAAATTGTGACAAAAACTTGTCGCAAAGAGCTCAATCTTGCTTGTTCTGTTCAATTTTTTGCAATGGGTACCTTTTGCAAATACCAATATAAAAATCATTTTTCCTTGTAATTTTCAATTTATATACTTGCAATTAGAGATAACAGTCAAGCATACAGTTAATTCAGTTCTACAATAATGACAATTTTTGACGAATCCTCAGCCATACAGTTCAATTCAAGATTCAAGTCGAAATAATGCTCAACCATATACATTTGATTTATAGTTCACACTCTCTCGAACCTAAGTCTAACGAAATGCAAAGGGACTTACAAACTATATCTCACATGAGGTATAGCCAGTCTGACCTCTGTATTTATTGCCCTGCCTGGAAAGAGCTACTAACTAAACCCACATGAAGTATTTTAAAACCATGCTGTCTGGTCTTAATGCAAATGTGGAGTAAGGAGATTATTTTGTTTAGGAAGGTATGACTTACAACTTGGCTTTGAGTCCAAGATGCCTGTATATGCAGGGTATGTAGAATGCAGACTCACAAAGAAAGTAGATTTTTGTTATCTAGCTCTTAAATAAGGGATTTCTATATGCAACACACTTGGGCTATGCATGCTCATTTTAAAATTTTGAAAACTCGGCTCCTTGAAGGGAGCCATGCAATATTTTCTTATTTGAAAAACATGAAACCTAGATTGATTTTAAGTTGTTTACAATTTAAAGGGTAGAAAATTTATTTTATCCTAAGAGCCTATCATATCACAAGTCCAGGCCACTCCCAAATAAAACAATAGTAGAAAACTAGGAAAAATATATTATTCTATTACGCACCTAGTAAACAAACAACACATGTATGTAAATCAATCAAAATAGAAGTGCAAGTAATATTCCAATTATTACAAATATGTTTGACAGCTGAATTGCTTGCCATTATACAACCCAGTAAATTTACAGACTCTACTTGTGTGGGTCTTCAAACTTTAACTCTTTAGTGGACCTTTAGGCTTCACCTCTAAGGGAGTATATCCTTCCTCAATCCACCTTTCCTTCTAGTTCAAATTCCCCAAGTTTCACATCCTAGATCTAATCAAATACATGATGAAAATATGAAAGACTCAAATATGAAAAACAGAGTTAGAAGACAATTTATATAATAATCACATCACATCCAAAATTTGCCTAGCACTTAGAGTGCAAAACATCTGCTTCTGTCCTATTGGCCATGTCTCTTGGAGGTTTTAAGTAGCAACAAGCAACCAATATTAAAATAATCATGACTTATTTTACCCCCTTCTAAACATGGCTACCTGCATAAAAAAGCATGCATATATTTCTATACTAACCACTTAAGGATAAGTGCCCACAACGTAGACAATTCAAAAGGGTATTCACACTAAATCATCAATCACATGTGCACACAAAGAAAAATTTTAATCCTAGCATGCTTAAGGGGCTGTGCACCTAAGTGTGTGAGACTTGTGTGGTATGTCATATTAAGGATACTTCTTAGAATTTGGATCTAAAGAAGAAGTGTCCAACATGTAGCTTTTGAGCTAAATGTTGGAGGAATCCCCCCGTAAACTTTTGAAGCTAGAAGAAGAATGTATACTTCTTTTAGCTTTGAGACTAAATAAGGGAGATAAAGGGAGTCCAATACATAGCTTTTGGGTTATATGTTGAAGAATTCTCCCTAGCTTTTGGAGCTAAGAAGAGAAAGTAGGAATCCAATATTTAGCTTTTGGGCTAAATGTTGGAGAACTCTCTCTAGCGTTTGGAGCTAAAGAGAGGAAAAATCTCCTATGATTTGGAGTTGGAGGAGAGTTAGGGGAATATGCAACTTATGGGTTGCAAATTCATGAATGTCTTTGAACACTTTGATGTTGAAAGAGAGGGTTGCACGCTTCCAACTTGAGTTTGGAAGGAAGTATAGAGATAAGATTTTGAATCTTATGTTTGGGATGAAACTACTTGTTGCTTTTATTTCAACAAATAGGTTGGTTTGGAACATGATTGATTCACTCAAAATAGGTTGAATGAATGAGATTTTCATACAATTTTTGGGTTGTAGAAAGAGGAGAATTTCTCTACAATTTTGGCTTGTAGGAAAGAATGGAGAGATGCAATTCAGGGATTGCAAATTAATGAAAGTTCTTTGAACATTTGTTGTCCAAAGAGGGGATGACATTCTACTAGTCCGGGTTTAGGAGAGATGGGGTTTTATTACAACTTTTCTGTTGTAGAAATGAGGGAAGGAACATGCAACTAGTGGGTTGCAACTCCATGAATACTCCTTGAACATTTGATGTTCAAAGAGAAATATTCATTTGCCTAATTTGAAGCTAGGAAAATGAAGAGGAATTTGGATGTTTCTTACAATTTAGGCTTGTAGGAAAATAAGTGGTCCAAAGTGCAAACTAGGGATTACGAATTGGAGGAGTTCCTTTGAACATTTCGTGTCCAAAAAAGAGGTTAATTCCTTTAATTTGAGTTGGAGGAATGGAGGAGACGAAGATGTAACTTGGAAGTTGCAAATTCTTTAAAGTTCATTGAACATTTGACATTCAAAAAATGATGCATACTCTCCTAATTTAGGTTAGAAGAATGAGAAGATCTTTCTACAACTTTTGAGTTATAGAAAGGTATGAAGGGATACGCAACCTATGGTTGCATACGAGAGGGATAGATCAATAGACCATGTGTCCAATGATGCATAATCACTTACCAAATATATGTTAGGTAAATGAGGGAAGAGGTGTGCACCTTGGGGGTTTCAAGATCATGAATGCTCTTTGAACATTTAGTGTTCAAAGAGAGAATATACATTCTCCCTTCTTAAGCTTGGGAAAGTGGAAGAAGATCTGACTATTCTCCTATAATTTTGGCTTATAGGATACGATGAAGGACATGCAACTTAGAGGTTGCAGCTCATGAAATTCTCTTGAACGTTTAATATTCAAAGAGAGGATATGCACTCTCCTAATTTAGGTTAGGAGAACGAGGGAAGGATTTGGAGAATTCCCACAGTCTTGGCTTGTTGGAAAGGGGAAGAGAAAATGCAATTTGTGCATTACAAGTCTATGAATATCTCTTGAATATTGAGAAGACATCATTCACTTGGTTGGGGTTGAGTGAACGGAGAAAGGGGACTTAGATTTGAATCTCAAGTCTAAGAGATTCATTGGTTTTGTGTTCCAACAAATGAGTGATTTGATAAACATCTTACAAGTTTAGAGTTGAAGGAGGGAGATTTAACTTTGAAGTTACAAAATTTTATGAATGCTCTTTGAATACTTGGTAATCAAAGAGGATCATTCACCTAATTGAAGTCAAGTGAATGGAGAGAGATACTCATTTGTTGATTTTGTGACTCAACAAACGAAGGATGTAGCTTAGGATTTGGCCCTAAACTCCAAATGATTCATACAATGATATATTTGGAGACTTGAGAGGTCCCAATTAATAATGCATGAAAGAGGGAGGTAATTGTTTGTTGATTTTGTCTCAACAAACAAGAGGTGGGTTACTTAGAATTTGTTTCTAAGGTCTAACAACCATGTAATGATATCGGTAGGAGCCTTTGGAGGCTCCAAATCATCATACATGAAAGGATAAGAGTTGGTTTCTTTTGTTCCAACAAATAACATGTTGAAGAACTTAAAATTTGGTTCTAAGCTTTAACAGTTCATGGAATGACATTGTTTGAAACCTTTGGAGGTTTCAAAATGTCACACACATAGAGGAAGGATAGTTTTAACTTGTTGATTTTGTACCAACAAGCAAGAAAACATGAACTTAGGATTTTCATCCTAAGGTTATAAGGGTTATGCAATGAAGTGTTTGGAGCTTTGAGGAGGCTCCACACATCATGTTTTAGTGCTCTTTTAGTTTCTCTAGAGGTTATTTGGGAAACTTCCAACGTGAGTTTGGAAAGCAGCAAGCAAGGAAACCATTTGTTGTTTTCGTTTTTCAACAAATGAAATGAAGAAAACTTAGAATTTGATTCTAGGTTTGAGGGACTCATGTAGTGATACATTTGAAGGCTTGAGGAGCCTCAAATCATCGTGCATGAGAGGATGTTTGTTGGTTTTGGGGTTCCAATAAGAGATGTAAGAAAACTTGGATTTTGGTTCCAAATTTTTAAAGTTTCTAACATGATGCATTAAGGATAGAGAAATCTATAATACAATGCATGACAAGGGTTGATGATAACCCCTAGGACATGCTAGGAGTCAAGCGGCAAAATATTTGGAGCATTGAGGGAGCTCCGAAGGTCATGCAATGATAGATATTTAGAGCCTTGAGAAGGTTCCAATCACCATGCATGGGATGGATGGATGAATGCTTTGTAGATTTTGTGTCAACAAGCAAAGAGGTATGAACCTAGGATTTTTGGAATCTTAAGTTAAGATTATTTATGCAATGAAAAATTTGGAGCTTTGAGATGCTCCAAATTATCATGCATGAGGGAGGAAAGACTCTACTAGAGAGCTTTAAACTCATTGAAATGATCTCCAAATCAATTTTGGCATGATTTGGGTAGGAGGGATTGGTCCTATTTGAATTTGGAAGACAACCTATAGCATTATCGAAATGACTACATGAAAGAGGTTTTCCCAAATTCAAACCTAATATGATTTAGAAATTTGAGAGCTTGTATATATTTATACTATCTTACAAACTTGAAAAAATGTGCTTAAATAATCCCTTAGTGTGATGGGGCAATGATCATGGGCTTTTGGAATCGATGAAATACTCCAAATCAATTTTA